CCTCATTTCACCCACCTCGGAAGGATGGAAGGCTGAGTTAACCTTGGGCCGGTGAGATTAGAACCGCTGAACTGCAGGTAACAGTCAGCTGAAGTGGCCTGCAGTACTGCACCCTAATCACTGCGCCACCTCGGCATTTAACAGCTGTTAAGTGAGTTTTATCTCTGCTTTATGTCAGAAGTTCGCAAAAGGTGATCAAGTGATCCCAGAACACTTCAACCACCATAAATATGAGCCAGTTGCCAAGCATCTGAGTTTTTGATCACATGACCACAGGGAAGCTGCAATGGTCATAAATGTGAAAAATGGTCATAAGTCACTTTTTTCAATGCTGTTTTAACTTTGAATGGTCACTAAAAGAATTGTTGTTAAGTCGAGGACTACCTATATATCATTTCCGATTATTTTCACTTATCATCTTTATTCAGGATTAAGTAAAAAACAATTAAGAGCACATATTTCCTAGTTATGCAGAGGATTCCAGCCAACAGAAGAGATATACACATATATGCAATTCAAATCACATAAAGAATCTCAAATTTCTATTGTCAATATTTCATTTAGCAATGCCATGCCATTTTTTTAAAATGTAAAGATATTAAACACAAGTGCTATGTTACTTTGCTTTGTTCTTCCCTCTCTTATGCCAAATACTGCATTTTCTGCTTGCTAAAATGACATATAATGCGAGGGAGGAAAGATGTTTAGTCGCAGCAAATTATCAGATTATCATCCATTATAGAGACATTTGTTTATTGAACAGTACAGAGAGCAAAGATGATTTTTTTTAAAAAAAATTGTTTTGTTGACCTAGAGATAAACAGAATAATTATTGGAATACTGAATTATACTTTAGGCATACCAAAAATAACTTGGGGGGTTTTATACTTTTGAATCTATTGAGCACAACTTGATGGATACTATAATATTTCTTGGACTACGTGTAAGTCATAAAACATTACTTCAAGTGACAGAGGGAAGCAACAATATTTACTGGAACTGTCACAAAATAAGGATTCTACAACACGGCTGAATATGGCTCAACTTAAATATACAATAACTAGAAATGTAAATGGCTAGGAATTGACACTTTTATTGAAAATATTTTTCTTGTTTTGCAAGCCTATGGCATATTTTTCATAGACACAGAGTGTAGCAAAAACTGATGAAAAGATAGTAGGGAGGAAGGGAAAGCAACAGCCACATCAGAAGGATAACAAAGAATTCTTCTAGTCCTTGGAAAGTATAGATGGGATGGGAGAGATAATGGTCTCCATTCACTTCCTAAGGCCTTTTTAGATAGCTAACATACTCTGGTATCCCATCCTTGCTCTTGTGTTATTATCATCCAAATTATAATCCAGGGTCTATAACTATCAAGGTTTTTCTGACATTCATTCTACTAAATTCAATATATATATAAGTAATTCTGGCTGTTGGGAGTGCTTGCTAACTATGCAATCTCATATACTCCCAATCCACACCGATATTCCCATTCCACACAACCTATGTATCTATTTACAATAAATACAAACCCTGTAGAAACTAGTCAAGTGACTGGATATTTCTAAGGCAATGGAAGCATTCAGAATCCATCTGAAGGAAATAGTCAAATGATTACCGTACATAGATTTTAAACAGAACCCTTTGGATCATAGGTATGTATTTCACAACCAATTTCTGAAGCTCAAGGAGAGACAGAGATAGTTCTTAAGTGGATTAGAATGAAATAGCAAGAGCTTCTAGAAATAGCAACTTGAAAAGAACAGGAAACATTCTTCCATAGAAAAAAGGCTACTTTTAGGCAGGAAAATGTAGGTTTTTGCAACGTGGGAAGAAACAGAAAAAAAGATAACAGGTTACCCACTTGGTAATCTTGCCATCAAAGATGATATATATTAATTTGACTGCAGAGTTTCTAGAGAGACAATTTAGTGTAGTGATTAAAGGCACCAGTGATTAAAGCACCTAGAAACCAAAAGACCATGAATTCTAATTCCACTTTAGGCACAAAACCACTAGGTCACTCTCAATCCCAGGAAGGAGGCAATGTCAAACCACTTCTGAAAAACCTTGCAAAGAAAACTGTTTAGGAAGTCACCAGAAGTCAACAGTGATTCAAAACAAACAAAAAAAGAAAGAATTCTTAAATGAAATACAGAAGTCATCAAAATGTTTATAACAGCAGGTTATAGCTACATAAAGCTAGGACCATAAAAATATTGTTTCGGAAACAAAAGATTATTGATTAAGCAGGGGGAAGAGAAAAACTCTAAAAGAGGATGAGTTACAGATATGAGTTACTGCTAGCAATCCTATTGTAATAGCCGAAAACCTAACCATTGTATAATGAAAAGAACTGGGATAATATGTGGATCAAAATAAGACTTGTTGAATCATTTGGATACAGAAAGAATAGAGAACATTTGACTATAAAATAGATACCAACTGGGTGGCAGGTATGATTTTAAGGTGTATGTGCATATACAATTTAAATATTAGTATTACTAACTGCATTGGATAGAGTATATTTCCTGTTTTACTGCATAAATCCAACAACTAACAAGCCAGGTTGTTTTCTATCTCAGCTACCTAAGAAATAAATACACTGAGAGAAACACCTATCCGATTTGCTCTTCTCTGCATGAAGCCAGACATCTGTTACTAGACAATGAGCGCTCTGCTTCTAAAAACCCTCCACTCCTTCTGAGGCCAGAACTTCCCATAACACAACTAATAAATTGTATAAGTGCTGAATAGGCTACAGCGGAGAAGTGATTTGTGCTAATAAGAGCTGGCAATATTGTAAGTGGGAAGACATCTGTGAGATGATGCATCAGAAGGTCTTTCAGCTTCTGAACATCTCACAGATGTTCACAAATAGAGGGAAATTGTTACTTTGGTGAAAGCAGCTCATAGCCAATAAATGGCTTTTTTAAAAGGAGCTTACAGGCTGTGAAATTAACAACACATCTGACCTAAATTTCTAATGACAATCAACTGGATTGTTTTTGTAAGTTATATCTAACAATTATTGAAAATCACCATGAAGTAAATAAGGAAATGCAACTCAAAACAATTTTAAAAACTATCCTTAGCATTATTTATATATATATATATATATATGCTTACCACACGTAACAGTGCATTCTCCAAATTCTACTTCTTTAGGTTCTGTCAAATTTTCACCTGCAAAAGGATGAATTACCGCAAGCTGGTAAGATGTAGTTACCTAATTGGAGTAAAATGTATTTCCTAAATTTTTTAGTGCTGTTCACCTGAAATATAGTTGGACCAGCAAATAATGTGAAGCAGGCTGGACTCTGCTTCAATTTAGTTACTCAAGGATATATTTCGTGTACATTCTTTGCTTAAATTTTAAATTATTACTTGACCTTTTGAATGTAAAGCTGCTTTTAAGAAATAGAATGTATATCTTTCTATGGGGCCTCTTTTTAATTTTAACTTTCAAAATCCAACACTGCATTTATTCTATGACAGCGATGGAGCACACATTGCGAGAATAGCAACACCAGGAACATATATTAATGTATGCAGGTTTCCCCCCGCAGCTGTTCTGTGTTCCACGATCCCCAGCCGCCATCCTGCCCCTTTCTTAAACCAAGGGACAAGCGTGGTTCTCGACAGCCCGCCTTTTGCGGGCTCCTCCTTTTCGGGGGAAAACCTCCGAAAGGCTGGGCGTCGGTAAGCCGCGCTCGCTCCCAAGCTCTGCCTCTCCCTTTTGCGCCGCCCCGGGTCCCTCACCCGAGTCCACCAGCCTCACGATAGGCTCGGCCAAAGCCGCTTCCAGGGACAGCGAGTCGTTGAAGCCGAGGTCGTGCTCAAGGCCGAAGCCGTGGCCGTGCTCATCGTTGAAGACGTGGCCATGCTCCTCGTGGAAGCCGGGCTCGTGCTCCTCGTGGAAGCCGTGGCCGTGCTCATCTTCGGCTAGCAGCAGGTTCAACAGCAGGTTCAGCAAGAAGGCGAGCGTGCACGCGCCTCCCGTTTTGCGGAACCCCATTTCTTGGTTGGGTTTGCGGCGCCTTGACTGCGCCGAGCCCGCGCGGGAGCCGAGCTGACCTGAGCGGGAGCCACACTGGCGGCAACCATTCAGGCGTCACAATGCGACCCGCTCAGAATTCGAACGGAGGCTCCCGGCGGGAGGGGAGGGAAAAAAAAATAGCGGGCGCCTTTTTCTTCCTTTTTCTTTTTCTAAAGGCCCTTCTTGTAAAGATGCAGGCATCTTTCCCCTCTTCTCTGCCAGAGACCTTATAAGCAGCCCCCCGTAGGGACAAAAAAAACAAACACCCAACCACAATTACTCCGCTGGGCAAAAACCACGTTGAAGCTGGCCGACTCGGCGTAGGTTTCTTTTACGTTTTAATTCCTTGCGCGGAGTTTTCTCAAAAGGGCGAGTTGGGGGGGGGCGGGGGAGACACCTTTCTGTTTAACGCACAGGTAGCCCTCGAGTTACGACCACAGTTGAGCCCAACGCTTCGTTCGTTTTGCCCCGTTTTATGACTTTCCACGGTTGCCAAGTGCTGCAGTTCATAAAATGAGTAGCTAAGTGGTGGTTAAGTGAATCGGGCTTCCCTATTGACTTTGAGAAGGTGGCAAAAGTCATGACTATGATGATCCAGTTGCCTTGCATCTGAATTCTGATCGTATAATCCCCGACCTCTGGTCCTTCAGACGTGCCCTAAAAAGTTGGCTTTTCCAGCAAGCCAGCCTGGCCTGAACAAAACAAAACAAATTATTGATTACTGTTAATTTTAATTCATTTTTTTAAAATGTCATTGTCAATTTTAATTGGGTTTGGGATATTCTATTTAATTTTTTAAAAACTTTTGTATTATGTGTTTCTTTTA